CTACTGAAATTTTATCCCCGTTAATAACATGTCCTAGAAATACAACTTCGTCCAATTAGAATTCACACTTTTTCAGTTTTTCATATAGTTTTTTCTCCCTAAGTGTTTACAAAACAATCCTCAAATGTTGTTCATGTTCTTCTTTACTTCTTGAATAAATCAATATGTCATCAATAAATACCACAACAAATCCATCATGATAAGATTTAAAAATTTGGTTCCTAAGATCTATAAAAGCTATGGGTGCATTTCTCACTCCAATCGACATAACTAAAAATTTGTAGTGACCATATCTTGTTGGGAATGCAGTTTTTTCAACATTTTCAGTTTTCACTTTAAGGTGGTGGTACCTAGATCTTAAATCAATCTTCGAAAATACTTGTGAACCCTGCAATTGGTCAAACAAGTCATCAATACGGGGTAGAGAATATTTGGTCTTGATTGTTACCTTGTTCAACTCTTGGTAATCAATACACAAACATAAGGTTTCATCTTTCTTCCTTACAAATAAAATTGGCGCACCCCAATGCGAAGTACTTGGTTAGATAAAACCCTTGTCAAGCAAATATTGTAACTTTGTTTTAGTTCTTTCATCTCAGCAGTTGACATTCTGTATAGAGTCTTTGAAATAGATTGAGTATCCGGCATGACTTCAATAGTAAACTCAATTTTCCTGTCAACTATTTCCCCTGGAAATTCCTCTGGAAACATATCTGCAAATTCTCTAACAATAAGAATATTATGTAACACAGTATTCAGGGATTGATCAGTCATAATTCTACACAGATAACCCCGACATCCCTTCTTAAGTAGTTTGCATGTTTTCGTTGCCAAAATCAAGTAAGACTGAAGTACTACACCATCACCCAAGTATACAAATTCATTATGTCCTGGTGGTCTAAACAAAACTCGTTTTTTTACACAATTAATAGTAGCACAGTATTCAAACAACTAGACCATTTCTAAAATCACATCAAAATGTCTAATATCAAGAGGCAACAAATTTACAAATAACACAGCATGCCCAATACTAATTTCATAGAACAGATTCCCCAGATGGAACAGATATACACAACAGATAAAGCAATGATTCCATAGTTCTATTCAGTCTAGATGCAAATATAGTAGATATGAAAGAATGTGTCGAACCCGAATCAATTAGCACATAAATATCTTGGTTGCAAATATAATGGATACCTAAGACAGCGACCTCGGTATTTTATGTATCACTTGGGACAAGTGCCCAAACTCTCCTTTGTCGTAGTATGTCTCTTGTAGCAACAAGTCTTGTAGTGTTTCCTGCCATTGGGATAGATTCAGTCGAACTAGCAGCTGATCTTCCACTTCTTTGTTCAATTTGGAGATAACCTCTGACCATGTGTCCAGTCTTGCCACATCTAAATCATACGCCAGAAGTACGGTAACAAACTCCCTGATGTTTTCTACCACATTCATTACATGTCGGTATAGAGTCTCTTGAGGAATTGGAGGTACTAGATGTTTCCAAATTCTACTTCTTCGAAGATCCCTTATTAGAATAAGAACTATGTTGTTTCCTCTTTTATTCAAATGGTCAGTTATATGAGACCAAATTCATTGCAAACATTAGAGCTCGATCAAGAACATCCACGTATTTCGGTAACTTCAAAACATTCCCTTTTTCCAGGATTGCATTTCGGAGTCCACCCTCAAACTTCATTGCCTTCTTGTAGTCAATGTCTACCATATACGATGCAAACCTGGCCAACTCAGTGAACCATGCCTCATATTCCGCTACGGTCTAGTTTTCTTGCTTCAACTTTTCAAATCCAATTACTTTTCAATCTTGGATGCATTGAAGGAAGTACTTCTTGTAAAAGATCTCTAAACTTTTTGTGCTTCAATGCATGGAAATACTTCAAACAATTTCTCTATGCCAAGAGCCCATGTTTCTGTTTTTAGAGGATCAACTCCTCCCGAGTGGTATAATGGTTTCATCTTCTTGAAATCTTTGGTCAAAGCAATTGTGCAGTCACTTGTCTGGCACTCTTGTACTGGTGATGGTACAAGCATTAATGGAGGTGTGGACGGTTGTTGCTGTTGTTGCCTTATTGCTTCAGCCATATCATGGATCATTCGTTCCATTCTGTCCAGTCGAGTAGTAGTAAACTATTCTATCTCATCGGCACTTGTTCTCATAATTATCTATATGAACTTGCATTATAATAAACACAAAAATTTGCACACATATACACATAGGCACAATAGTTCATACATCATATATTCACATATTCTTAATACACACAAGCATGTTCTTATCAGATGGATGCACCTTGAGTCTTTTCTAGACACCTTATTACTCATTTGGACAAGTGCGTGAGTTATTAACTCGTACTCTGATACCACTCTGTCATGACTCAAATCCGCCTCTAGAGGATAAGATCATAACCAGCTAGTAATCCTCAGATTACCTACAACCTTTAGACATAAATCAAATCATATTTAATTATATCGGACTAGAAGCGGAAGCAGAAACATAAAATTGTCCAATAAGCTTATGCATAATTAGCATGAATAAAAACATCTTATATATATAGTAATAACTCACACCCATACATACATAAGAAATCTCAAATATCCAAGATCATACATATAATATAGTCATACAAAAACCATAACTTATATACAAACATGGTCAAGCATGACCAACAAAAGAAAACAGAAAATCAAAAGACAAAGTCTCGTGTGTGAGGCATCCTTAGCTGACTCCACAAAAACTCGGTGTTTCTCTACAGGTTCACTGAGGCTAGACATCTCGCTACTCACCTACATATATATATATATATATATATATAAAATAAAGTGAACGAAAACCTAGTGAATAACATCAAAGTAAGGAGATTATATGAATGAGTTCTAATATTCAAATAAAATCATTCTTGTAATAGTTTCGTATCATAACAGACCAACCTCAGGTCCAGTATATGATAGAATGACCTCAGGTCTAACATATACAAAGATACAAAGTAGAACATATCATATTTGTCGGAACAACCTTGAGTATAACAACCTCGGGTCTATTCAATTACAATTGTAAAATGACCATTGGGTCAATAAATAACAGATATTTAGACTTATCAGATGTACAGTGAATCAGATAATCAGAACGACCTTAGGTCCATTTCATCAGATATACAGAACGACCTCTGGTCCATTTCATTTGTACAGAACGACCTCTGGTCTATCATGTGCTTTCATGATTGTTAATCATATTTACAGATCTTTTATGAATCAGACAGATAGAAGGCTCATTCGTAACACAAAATCATAAATTCAGAAAACTTGCCACATTAGTTTCATTTAGAAAATAAGATACATAAAAATATCTTTACTAAGATATTACTCACAATGATTTGGTTACTGATACAGCTTCGCGAATGAACTTACACAATTCATAATACATACACATATTGACTCATATTGCTTAAGCTAGTCGTTCTCTAACTTATTCAATTATCTTAGGCTTTATTCCAACGCATTAATTCATTTAGAATGCTCAATTTATTCCTAAGCATGCTCAAAAAGGAATGAGAACAGAATTATGAACATAATATGACTTTTCAAAATATGCTAAAACAGGACACATCGCTCAATCGTAATATTGGTCGCTCAAGCAGATTACACGGTCTGCAAAAATACTAAATGGTATGAATCTAAACTCGATGATCGCTTGAGCCAAGATGAAAAGTAAAAGGCAGTCACTTGAGCCAACTGCAAACATACTAAATGCATGATATGTGCACTCAAGCGACAACTTGCTCGCTCAAGTGATGCGGTTGAATTCTAAGTTTTCCAAAATTGATTTTGAACTTCAACACATGTATACAAAGTGTGAAAGCTTGCATGATATGCTCTTATCTTCAAATATACAACCATAAGCATAGATACAAAATCGATTTACAAATTCAAAACTCAAAACTTCATGAATTCACCATGCATGACCCAATTAGCTTCAAATTCTTTTCCAAAACTCTCAAGACATAGAATTTAACTTCAAAACCTTATCAATCATGGATGCATGGATGATATAACTTCAATTCGAGCTTAAATGACATGAATCATGCTTAAAATGATAAAGCTAACCAAAATTATGCATGCATGTATGAATTAGCACCAAATTCTTCATTCTTAGCTCATTTTTTGTATTTAATCATATGATCTTTTTGGATTCACATCTTTGATGACTTAATCTCACAAATTAAGGTTCAAAAGCTTACTTAAGGTCTTTGACAACACTTCTATTAGCCAATTCTTGAGTTCCTCTACTCAATTCTCCAATCTTCAAGCCAAAACTTCAAAATCAAACCCTCTCTCTCTCTCTCTCTCTCTCTCTCTCTAGAATGCATCTCCTTAGAATTTTTTAGTGTAAATATAGGAGTTAAACTCTCAACTTAACATATATATAGGCTTAATTAACTTATTACGCTAATCAAAGGTTAAGCTAATTAATTAGAGCTTAAGGCTAATCAAACAAACTTAAATAAATTGAGTTAATCTAATTAATTTTAAACTGAATCAAATTTTAATCAAACTCTTCATTAGACATTAAAAATTACGCCAATTATAGGAAACTACTTAATTTTGATTTCTGACATCATTTAAAGCCTTTAATTTAATGTTATGATAGAAATCACAACAGATATCTCTATGGTTAACAGATATGAATTCAAAAATCACATTAAACACATAATTAGCATCCAAATTCACACTAATCACGTAAACACATTCAAAATAAAAGGATTAAAAGTATAATACGTGATGCGATGCGTTTGTCACAATTTTTCTCTCTTATTTTTTAAGATATGTTGCCTGATAAAAATGTGTTTGAACTTGCTATATCTGTTGGATCTTCTATGCAATATGTCAATGCTTGTAAAATTATACATCTCGGCTAATTTTATCTTTAAAAATAAAAAAAATAAAAAACTTCTTATTAATGTTTCATCTCCTTTATGTATCAGTGTGGTTGCAGACACATGTGTTGCAATGGATGAGTGGCTTCAGAACCCAACTGCCAATTCAGCTCTTGAAAACATAATCCCAAGAGCAAATGATCAGTTTGCCCAAGCAATATTGACGGGGACTAAGAGCGTCTCCTTCGCACTTGTCAATATATCTAATACCGCTATCACCAATGTTTACAATGTCCAATGGCCTCCCGATGCTACGCCTCTATACTTCAATCAATCTGGTCCATTGATGCCTCTTCTTTGCAACCCATTCAATTTAAACCTTACTGATCGACAATGTCAAGTTGGTGAAGTCAACTTTATGAACGCAACAAAGGTAATATACTAATATCTAATTAAGCTTACTGTGTTTATATAGAAAATTTCCATTATTTTCTTCCAACAGGGAAAAGAGAGAGAGAGAGAGAGAGAGAGGATCAAATTCTTCAAGGGTGAGACTATTGATTTTTTTGCTAAATTTTAGCCACCAAAGAAACCTACCCTGAAAATAACTCATGTGCTAGGTTTTGAATTTACATAACCATGTTTAGGTTGTTATTTTTATTATAAAATAAATAAATATGTAAACGCGACCTAATGCACGAGGCTTTAGTTACCGTTGGTACCAGAGACAACAAGATGTATGTAGGCACATTGCCATTTTAAGAGAAGTTAGTTCATCGATTGATCCAATCAAGGGCTTACAATTCACCTTATGACTCTTCCTTAATGAGATCAAAATAGTCGCAAACTGAACATTCTTAATTTAGCTCCATGATGAATGTATGCAAGTGTAATTTCAATGTTACGAAAATAACATTCTCCTCCCATACTTCCCATTTCATTTAGAAAGAAGCATCTAGTCCAAGGGAGATTATGAAAGAAAGATGAGAATTCCTTAATTGGGTTTAACCATGTGCTAAGAACCTTGAACATAGATACTTGATATGACAAATATACAACATTGACAAAAAAACACGACAATTTTAAAAAAATATTGGACACACATGAAGAATACGCACAAAATGTAAAATCATGATGTATATATGAATTGTTATTCAAAGATATTAAAATACAACATAATATTAATTTCTAAAATTTAAAGAAGAGATTAATAAATATAAATTTACATTTCTTTTCTTTTATCTTTGTATTTTAAATTTAGTGATCATACGTCCCCCAAGGGTTAAAAGTGTGTTCTCACTCTAAAATTTTAAAAAATATTAGGATATATTTAACATATGTCTAATACGTGTCAGGAAGTTTTTGACACAAGCACTCCACATTTTTAAAAGCGTTCATGCTTTTACACAAGGAAAATATCATAGGGGAAATTTATAAAAAATAAAAAATTAAAAATAAAAATAAAAAAAAAGAGCAACACAAGATTTGAGTCTTGTAACAAAATAAATCATAAATTTTTAATGTTGTCAATTTAAATCTTAATATTTTGATTTATTTTCAATCTGAATATTAAACTCATTGTAGTTGTACAGAAAATGTCTAAAACACCTGTTTCTATTGAGTTTAATGATCAAATTACACTTTTTTTGACAATTTTGTTTAACAAAAATATGCGTATGGTTTAGATTGAAAACAAATCAAAAAATTAGAGTTTAAATTGATAAAATTGAAAACTCGGAATTTATTTTGTTACTGAGCTCAAATTATGGGATTTCTTTGTGATTTCTCAAAAATATATTTCAAGCTCATTGAAGTAGTCCTAGACACACAGGAGAATGAGCAACTCTAGTAATGACACTAAATTCCTTCTTCATGCAGGTGTGGAAGAACTATACCTGTCAGGTTTCGACATCTGGGATTTGTACGACGCCGGGCCGGCTTACTCCTATGGGCTACAATGACCTGACCGCCTCATTAAACGTCAGCTACGGTTTGTATTATTACAGTCCATTCCTGGTTGATTTAGTAGACTCCACATATTTGAAGACGACATTTGATGATATTAGTCGAAATTATTGTCCCGGTATGAGGCAATCGACTAGATGGATATACGTCGGGTTCACAGTAGTCTCTGCTGCTGTGATGTTGTCACTGGTATTATGGATAGTCTATGGACGAGAGCGAAGGCAGCGAAAATACTACAGAAGGAAATGACTCCAGTCCCCATGGAAGAACTCATTTTGATGGTTGTGAAGTGAACTTGAGATAGATTTCTCATAACTTGGTGTGTTGTGTGTGTGTGCATATATATATATATATATATATATATGTGTATATGAATGTAAGTGAAATTGGTATGTGTTGTGTATATCAAGCCTACAACTCTATGGGCTTGATTGTTTTGCCATACACTTAAATTCTCTCTTTACAAGAAGGTTGAGGTTTGGAAGCATTTGCAGAAGAGTACTTATTAATTTTAAATTTTGAAGTTTTTATTCATAAGATAATAATATTTTTAAAAGTTAATATTAAGTACAAAATCTTAAATATTTATGACAAAAGTTTTTAATATATATTTTACAATTGACCTTGAGAAATGTCATAATTGAAAATATGATGATTATTTGTAACTAGTATGTTAGAGATAATATAAATAAATAAATAAAATATTGTATAGAAGTCTTATATTATAGATTATATAATAATATAAAAATAAAATTTTTATACAAATTTTTTTTTAAAAATTCAGTACTACAATGCTATTGCATATATCCACCTATGATATCATTAATGAGTAGTAAAACAATACATGGAGAAACTTATTTGTCAAATGTATTTAACAATCTATTAACTTTCACATTTACATAGTACATAGAATTAATTATATTTGCATATCAATATTGATGCAAATCATCAATGTATTAAATTTTTTTCACAAAATTTTCATACATAATCACGTGACTTGTTATAATCTTTTTATGTTCAATCAAAACAATTAACATTATTTTCATAATTTTAAAAAAAAAATCATTAAAAAATCATTAACGCTGTGTTTGGTTGGAAGATTTGAAGAGGGATTTGGAAAGAGAAAGGGAAAAGTTAGGTGAAATGTAAATAAAATATACCTACATTTCACCTAGTTTCACACACATTTTCCATTTCCCTTTCCAAATCCCTCCCCAAATCCTCCAACCAAACACAGCATAAGTGTTCTTTCTATATAATTTTTTTTTATTTTTAAATCATTTTGCTTACATACCTATGTAAAAAAAAATTCCTAAATTGAGAAGGGCGCGTGAGCCCTGTTCCCAACATAGATCCATCCCTGTTTGGAAGGTTCTTCTATAATGAATTCCCACGGCATATTTACTGCAAAATTTACTTTATAATGATATGCATATTTTTATTTCGTTCTCTTATGTTACGAATTCAATTTGTAAGAGTATTTAAGTTTAGTAGGTCTATTGTGAGTGTAAGTTAATTGATCCAACTCGTTCACTTTTTAATATTCGTTGAGAAAAATATTCATGTAAAAAACCAAATTTACTAGACTTCAGTACTTATATGTTTGAATCAAATTTATGATGGCAAATATAATTTCAAGAATAACCGTCTATTTTTTAAAGACAAATGTGATTTAAATATATAACTACAGAAATGCAATCATTTTATTTTTTACATGATTATTTTTCTCAATAAGTTTTAAAAATTGAATGATTTGGATCACTAAAATAGGGTCACAATGGACCTACTAAGTCTAAATACTCTCTGTACGGGGAGCAAATATTCCGGCGTGCCCGTATTCCTTTCTTCCGAGCTCCGTCGATGTCCGATCACCTGTGAACAAATAATGGTGAGCTACCCGGCGGTGTGTGGCCGGAAAAACCCTCCGACGGTCAAGTTAGCACACACCTTAGGACGGATACCCTGTTCCCAACATAGATCCATCCCTGTTTGGAAGGTTCTTCTATAATGAATTCCCACGGCATATTTACTGCAAAATTTACTTTATAATGATATGCATATTTTTATTTCGTTCTCTTATGTTACGAATTCAATTTGTAAGAGTATTTAAGTTTAGTAGGTCTATTGTGAGTGTAAGTTAATTGATCCAACTCGTTCACTTTTTAATATTCGTTGAGAAAAATATTCATGTAAAAAATCAAATTTACTAGACTTCAGTACTTATATGTTTGAATCAAATTTATGATGGCAAATATAATTTCAAGAATAACCGTCTATTTTTTAAAGATAAATGTGATTTAAATATATAACTACAGAAATGCAATCATTTTATTTTTTACATGATTATTTTTCTCAATAAGTTTTAAAAATTGAATAATTTGGATCACTAAAATAGGGTCACAATGGACCTACTAAGTCTAAATACTCTCTTAAGTTGAATCCCTAATATAAGAGAAGCCAAACCCTTAAAAACACACACAAACAAACAAACAAAGAAACATTTTTTCTTTTTGAATTTTTCTAAGATATTGCTTGAGCACTTAGGTCATCAGATTCTGTATTTGAATCTAACGCTAAAGGTATATGTGTTTGCAACATCTTAATTTACACTAGAGGATAGGAAAAGAGGGAAGGGTACAAGAGAAGTATGGAAGCTAGCTTGTCTTGCCTGCAAAAGCATAAGTATGGAATGGGAGAATGGGGTGGAAACCAATTCTATGCAGCCATAAAAGAAGTGGAAGGGGTTTCTTAGAGAAAAAAGTAGGCATGTATTCACTTTTTGTGGACGAAATACCAGAATCAATGGATCCAAAAGGGCTATACTCACTATTCAACAACTTTGGGGTGGTGAAGGATGTATACATATCATTCAAGAGGAGGAAACAGACACAATCAAGATTCTGATTTGTATGGTACGACTATCCAGTGGCGGCACAAATGGCAATATAGAAAGCAAAGGGTCTGTGTTGTGATAATAGAGCATTGAAGGAAAAACACGCAGCCTTTAAGAAGGAACAGGGAGCTAAACCAATATTACCATTTGTCAAAGAGGTGAGAAAATAAGCACAATCAACTTATGCAACTGTTAACCTGGACAATTGAAAGAAATCATATTCTCAGGTGGTAGATGAAGGGAAGAGGAGAAAATACACAAGCTTAACCATAAGAGCTTACGAAGAAGGTAATTGATGGTTATATGAGAGTGTAATCGTTTGGCTGAAACCGCATTGCTCGGATGAAGATTTCATGAATGAATAACCAAGAGGGAGGTGGGGAACATCAAAGTCTCAAAAGCAGGTGGAAGGGATATAGTTATCTCATTTCAATCAGCCTACGAGATGAAAGAAAGACTCCCTATGATGAATGGCTGGATTAAGGAGTGGTGTGAATCAGTCAAGGAATGGAAAAAAAGAATGGTTATTGAGCAAGAAAGAAGTATATGGATGAGTTGCTATGGAGTGCCATTAAATCTCTGGAGTAAGAAAACCTTTAGCAGTATAGGAAGACTATGGGGATAAATTATTGACGTGGATAATGACACTCTTAATATGAAGAGTTTACAATGTGGAAGGATAAGAATTGTTACCACATATATGGAATCTATCAACAGAACAGTGAATCTCGACTACTAAGGAATTCTATATCTAGTGAAAGTGTGTGAAGAGCAAATTGTTGCTAAGGTGGTGATAAGTAAAATATGCCAATGTCATAAGAAGCATGATGATGAAGATGTTTATAGTTCTTACGCGCAAGAAGCTAAACAGAGATCAGAGCAAACAAACAACCGTAGTGAGGAAGAAGATAATGAGGTGGCTATCTAGCAAGTCGATGAGCTGGACAAAATGAGTGACATAGCAATGAAGGAAATGAGAAGAGAACATGAACAAAGCGCATGGTAGACAGAGACAAAGAAGTAAATGCTTCACTGGTGGAGGATACTTACACCAACTTGGGAAAAACAAACAGTGTAGGCGCACAAGAATGCGTGATGATGAAGGTTGCGCATGCAGAGAAGTATGAAGTGTAAGGGTTAACCGAACAGTCGATGAAGATGTGATTACATCAGGTTTCATGAAAAGTTTGAGTGGGTCTATTCGATCCACACTTGGGTTGAATCTTGATATGGTTATTAATAAGGCCCATGAACAGAATGGTGATATGGGCTATGGCAGTGGTGTTGATGTCCAGCCTAATGGCCCAAACCAGGTATTTGTAACATTTTGAACCTAGCCTAGATGGTAGATAAGCAACAGTCAAATAAGAAAGGAATTCGGGGAGAAGCATCAAAATATTGTAAATAAAGAAAATGTAGCAGAAAGGAATAAACAAAAGGGGTTTCAAGTCATTATTTTAACAAGAACGACAGCCTCCAAATTAGGAAAAGTAGGAAAGAAATGTCGAGGAATTTGAAGAAATGGGTTGTTTTCAGGTCAGCAGTAGCAGCAATCTCACTCTCCATGTCAAGTCAGTCAAGAAGAAGGGTCCTTAATGAAGCTGAATCAAATTTGCAACTCAGTAAGGTCCTGGGATGGGTGATAATGGAAATGAGGAGGAGATCATAAGCAAACTCAATGAAGCTGAAACAAATCTGTAGCTTGGTAGGGTCCTTGGGATGGACTATAATGGAAAGGAGGAGGAGATTATAAGTAAATTAATGGAGTTGAAACAGAGAGATATTGAAAAGCTGAATGAGAGAAAGGGCAATGCTAACTGGATAGCATCCCTAGAAAGTAGAAGGAGTTATGGATATTCTGTAATGAAGTTATTATCTTGGAATATGAGGGGATTGGGAAAGTCAATTAAAATGAGAAGGATCAAAAAGGTATTCTTTGACAATAAAGTGGATATGGTGCTATTGTAAGAGACTAAGAAGTCTATCAATAATGAAAAGTTAGCTAGGTCAATTTGGCCAGGAGAGAAGATGGAGTTTATGGCAGTGGAGTTAGTAGGAGCTGTCAGAGGTTTACTTTGTGTATGGAATCCAGAAGTGTTTTAACTTAAAGATTGTTGCTGCAATAGAAATTTTATCCTCTTAGCAGGTACTCTATATCATAGTTTTGAGTGTGTGGTGGTGAATGTATATGGTCCTATTGATATAAGAAAAAGGAAGGAGGTGTGGGATATCCTGTTCAATATTAAATTAAAATTTCCAAATCCTTGGTGTGTGGGAGGGGGATTTTAACGAGATTAGGAGAATATCATAAAGAAAAGGGTGCTCCAGACTAGATAGAGGGATGAAAGAGTTTAATGAAATGATTGACAAATTAGAGCTAGCTGAATTACCAATGTTTTGAAGAAATTTCACTTGGGGTAATTCCCAGGAAGGGGGGAGGTGGAGTAGATTAGATAGATTTCTCCTAAACCCAGACTGGTTGTGTAACTTTAACTTCAAACTGTGGGGTCTTCTTAGAAGGCTTTCAGATCACAGCCCTATCCTATTGAGGGAAGATAAGAGGGATTGGGGCCCTAGACCCTTCAA